GTTCGACGTCGATATACGTTGAAAGCATATCAGTCAGAGTTCTGTTCAAGCGCTCCGTTAGGCCATTTGTTTGAGGATGTTATGCTGTAGTTCTTCTCTGGTCTGTATGGGTTATTCGCATCAGACATTTCATTAGATCTGCAGCGAAAGCTGGGCCACGATCTGTAATTAGAACGCTGGGTGCACCATGTCTGAGGACTATGTTGTTGATGAAGAACTTGGCAACTTCAAGAGCTGTTGCAGTGTACAGCGAGTCAGTCTCAGCGTAGCGAGTGAGATAGTCCGTGGCTACGACTATCCACTTCTTGTGTGCAGTCGATGTCGGAAACGGGCCTAGGAGATTCATACCGACTTGTTGGAATGGGGCATGCGGTGGTTCTATTGGCTGTAGGAGGCCTGCAGGTTTCACGGATGGGGTTTTGCGTCTTTGACACTCACGGCAAGTTTTCACATAGCGCTGAACTGATGATAACAGTTTTGGCCAGTAGTATTTTAGGTGAATTCTGGCGAATGTACGGCTGACACCCATGTGTCCAGATGTTGGCTCATCATGACATGCGTGCAGAATCTCGTTTCGTAAAGGTGCAGGTACAACAAGTAACTTGTCACCATGAGGCTTGAAGTTCCTCTTGTACAGGACCCCTTCCCAAAGACAGAACGAAGGGAGCCCTCTGGATAAAGTGCGCGGGACTTTAACGTTGAGTCCTTGGAGACGCTGTATAAGCGGCAGCAAATCGGGGTCATTTTGTTGTTGTTGAGCGATTTCTGATGCCTGGACGACGCCTAGAAACGGGAAGTCTTCTTCCTCCGGCTCACTCGTCTCCACTGGTGCGCATGACTGGCAGTCCGCATCGCTGTGTTTTTTTTTCCAGATTTGTATACCACAGTAACATCGTACTCTTGTAGCCTAAGGCTCCATCTTGCTAGTCGGCCAGAGGGATCCTTAGGATTCGCCAGCCAACACAGGCAATGGTGGTCCCTGACTGCTCGAAATGGTCTACCGTAGAGGTACGGCCGAAATTTACTTATGGCCCAAATGACCGCGAGACACTCTTTTTCGGTTGCAGAGTAATTTGTCTCAGCTTTCGAAAGCTTGCGGCTGGCATACGCTAGCACTTTTTCTTGGCCGTTTTGCCTCTGGACTAGAATGGCTCCGAGGCTGACGTTACTGGCATCAGTGTGAACTTCAGTTTCGGCAGTATCATTGAAGTGGGCGAGGGTTGGAGAGGCTTGCAGGCGTGTTCTTCCCTCATCAAATGCTTCCTGTTGTTCACTTTCCCACATAAAGGGCACCTCGTCTTTTGTCAGATTAATAAGTGGTTCAGCAATGTTCGAAAAATTTTCCACAAATCGCCGATAGTACGCGCATGAACCAAGGAAGCGACGTACTGACTTTTTGTCTTTGGGTGTCGGGAACTTTGCGATGGCAGCTGTCTTTTTGGGATCTGGCCGAACGCCTTCGGAGCTGCCGACGTGTCCGAGGAATCGAAGCTCTTCAAAAGCGAAGTGGCATTTTTCTGGCTTGATGGTCAAGTCTTCTGAACGAATGGCTTCTAATACTGTGCGGAGTCGCTCTAGATGTTGGTCGAATGTAGCGGAAAATACGACAACGTCATCCAAGTACACCAAGCAGGACTGCCATTTCAGTCCCGCGAGGAATGCGTCCAGCATTCTCTGAAACGTAGCTGGCGCAGTGCACAGGCCGAATGGAAGCGCTTTAAATTCGTAGAGGCCGTCTGGGGTTATGAATGCCGTCTTTTCACGGTCGCGCTCATCCACCTCGATTTGCCAATATCCGCTCTTGAGATCAAGGGAGGAGAAGTTTTTCACACTCCGTAGTCGATCGAGTGTATCATCGATACGCGGCAGCGGGTATACATCCCGTTTCGTTACGCTGTTCAGTTTCAGATAGTCGACGCAGAATCGAAGGCTGTTATCTTTCTTTTTAACAAGCACTAAGGGGGACGCCCATGGATTGCTGGAAGGCTGGATCACGTCATCTGAAAGCATCTCCTTCACTTGTTTCTTGAGGACGTCTCTTTCCTTTTGCGATACTCGATATGGGTGTTGGTAAATCGGTCTCGTGGCTTCTTCTGTTATAATCCTATGTTTTGCAATAGCCGTGCGTCGCATTTTAGAGGACGTTGAAAAGCAGTTGGAAAACTCTTTTATATAATAAGGGCGAACAATCGTTTTCTTTTATATTCTGGGAGCCTATGGTTGACGTTAACTGATGCGCCGACGTTGCAGGTTTCTTGTGGAGTGGTTGGCGTTGTCGCTAAACTGCATAGTTATGTCGCCATGCAGAACTCGTGGAAATAGGCGATAGCCATACCTTGCGCGATGTGCTGACATTCATTCCCAAAATTCGTAAGGAGGACAACTGAGCGGCCATTTGTTAAGTCAACAACTACCCTTGCCACGCAAATTCCTTTGTTTAAAAAGAGCTCTACGTTTCTATCCGCTATTCCTTCGTGGTCACAAAATGCCTTATTTTCAACAAGCACCATTAAACTACAGCGTGGTGGCACTGTGACGTTATTATCAACAACGCGCAGAGTAGTAAGACGTCGCTTTTTCGATTGCTCCACCGACATAGCTTGTTCAGTCGAAAACGTTACACTGGATCTGCGCAGATTAATTATGGCTCCATTGGCTTGCAGAAAATCCATTCCTAGTATAAGCTCCCTTGAACAGTCCGGCAGCACGATGAAGTCAGCAACGTAAGTGAAGCCTCTTATTTTGAGCCTTGAGGTGCATCTGCCGAGCGGTGTAATAGTGCGGCCACCTGCCGTGCGTATGTGTCCCACTCCATTTTGTCACAACCTTTTTCAGTTTCTTTGCCAATTTGTGACTCATAACCGAATAATCAGCGCCGGTGTCAACTAAAGCATTTAGCTCTTATCCGTCTATTTTCAACCGCAAATCTGAAGTAATCTTCGCACTGCTGTGCTTATCCTCTGTAAACATAGCATCGTCACCTTGAAACCGTAATGGAGGATCTTCGCAACTGTCGTTATCAGCGGCCTCACCTCCACAGGTCGCTTGCTTCAGTTTTCCTGGCGTGGGCTTGTAGAACGGTGCCCAGACCGTGCGGAAGAAGCACGTGGGCTGGGTGATCGGTAACGCCTGAGCGACGGCGATCTTGGCTGATGTTGGCGTGGAGTGAGTGAGCTCTGGCGCGTGGACAAGTACTCTTCGATCTCCGTTGGCCGTTCACCGTTTCGAGGGCATGGTGCGTACAACGGAAAGCCCCTTAATTCTGCCTGTCGGTAAGGGGAGAACTTATACAGGTGACCTGCTTCCCCACAATGGAAACACAAAGGCCTGCGCTCATGGTCACGCCAGATGTCACTTTTCCGGGGCCCTTGATCCACGTAGCAAGCTACACCACGGGCTCGTGTCAGGTAGGTAGCCGTCGGTTCCAGTGGACGAGGTGCGCTGCGTACCGTTTGTGGGCAAGGAGATGCCATCGTAACTGCTTCATTGGTGTGCGCCGCGGGTTGTCTGAGTACTTCAGAGTACGTTGGGATGCGTTGGATCGACTGTGGCTCACGCTCCGGCTCACGTATCATCTGCCTCAGTTCATCTCGTACTACGTCGACGACAGACAGTGTTGCTGTAGTGTGGGGTGCTTGCAACTTGCTGAGCTCTTCCCTGATCACCGACCTGATGAGTTCTCGCAGAGCGTCCGTGTCACTTCGCTGGCGTCCAGAGAAGACATTGGCAGGTGCACAGTTTATGTCTCGATTGTACTGTAGAGCTTGCTGTTCTAGCGTTTTCTCGATGGCTGTCGCTTCAGTATGAAACTCCGCAACTCTTCGTGGTGGGTTGCGGACCAGAACAGCGAATAGCTCTTGCTTCACCCCACACATGAGGGGGTGTAGCTTCTTGTCTTCGGTCATATGGGAATCTGCGCGCTTGAACAGGCGGATCATGTCCTCGATATACATTGCGAAACTTTTGTTGGTGAGTTGTTTCCTGGATTCGAGCGCGGCTTGCGCCTTTTCTTTGCGATCCGCGCTGGCATAAGTCGCCAGAGCTTGTCGCCGAAATTCATCCCAGGTCGTAAAGGAGGTTTTATGGTTCTCATACCAAGTCTTTGCGAAGTCCTCCAAAGCAAAGTATACGCGGCGGAGCTTCTCTCTCTCGTCCCAACCATTCAAACGTGCCACTCTCTCAAAGAGGTTCAGCCAATATCCTACGTCTTCATACGAGTCGCCATAAAATACTGGTGGCTGGTGAGGCTGATTTATCACCACTTGGGCTGGTGTTACATGACTTTTCATGGTGGCGGCGTCCTTTGACTGAGTTCCCCTTGGCGTGAAGTGGAGTGGACTGAATTCTGGTGAATCACCTCGAAGACAGCGACTGGTCCTCTGATGCAAAGGTGTCGGCTCCGCAGGATCAACTCGCTGGTGGTCGGAACTACGCTGTCTTGCGTTCGTAGGGCTTTGATTCATTACCCAGCACGTCCACCAGAATGTAACGATGTTGAAGGACTCGGGGTATAATAAAACGTATTTATTAAAGGGCGAACCTGTGCCCACAACTCAAAGGAACTATGGTCGTAGCACGTTACAGCAAAACACCAAGATGTCTTCTTCTTCTACTTCTTCAAGAAGAGTCCCAAGCGCGTGGCGCACATCAGCAGGGGCCAGCTGGGTTCTCGTGCTATCATCATCGTCTCTGCGCAACACTAGACGGCGCGCATGCATGTCCCTGTGCGCGTGGTGATGGGCGCGTTGTTTGAATGTAGGCACTATGTCGCGGCAATATGTAAACAAGAGAGGAGAATTTGCCTAGTCAATATGGCCGACTTCCGGCTTCATCGCGGCTCCTCAACGAGTGACGTCAGGGCCTCTCGTTACCTTTCCTTCCTCCGTGTTGAAAGCGGACGCCGCAATGGAGGACACCGCGCTAGAAATGAAAATACGGCCGTCACGAACGAGCGGATTCCTTCCTCCATGTGAGCGGAGAAATATCGCGCTGTTGTGGCGATGTCGTACGTGTTTCTGTCGGCCAAAGTATTAAAGCAACTACGAACAACGACTGCTGATGTCAGACCTTCAAGACCCATCGCCCACGGTAAGCCATGTCCGTCGTTTTCACGCAACTTGGTAAAAACGGTTATTCATTTCTGCTGGCCCTCGCCGAATGTTGCTAGTTAACGTTGTGCCTACCTTGAAGGTTTCCTTTTTGCCGTCAGATGCCTGGACGATCATATTCTACCACACTTCCTGAGCGCGGCACACCGAATTAATGGGCAGGCCGGCGCAAACGGCCTTCGTAAGGTAAGCAAGCTACTTCATTGTATTGTTTCGCTAATTATGCACCAGTAAGAAAGCAGCATGTGTGCCGGCCCACGTGCTGCTTCCCACATTGGAATATCTTACCAATATCGCGTCATTCGGTTTCACTGTAATCGTAGACGAATGCGTAATGCTTTGAAGCTGAACCACTTATGACGAGCGTAAATCTGCCGATGCCCCAAACGTTGTTCTCACTGCAGGCGGCACTCTTTGTTCAGCTGCGTAGTTTTGGTACCACACAGTTGTAAGCGTTTCCAGAAAACCGACGTTTGATTTAGGTGGGGAAGCACGGGAACTGATGCACGTAATTGTATGCAGCAAAAACAGGCAAACCCATATTTGGGAATTTCGTATGTAGCATTAAGTCTAAAATTAATGGGAAACGCTTCATTAATTGTGTTTAGGGTGTTGACCAATGGATAGCTCACCCGCGACATCATAGATGCAGCTTAGGAATGTACTGGCACTCCACGATTGAGCCTGACAGCGATCGAGCGGCGTCACTGCGAAAAGGATGTGGCCGGAACGTCTGCATGTCCAACGAAGGATGTATGAGATGTTTTGATGGTATTCAAAGGGTCGGGAAACGAAAATGAAGCTGCCCGGCAGTAAATTACTCTACTTCAATAAAGATGAGACATACAGATCCCAAAGTAAGTCTCTATAATTAATTATGCCCTTCTGAATCTCTCGAGCTCCTAAACGTCCACGGGGCCTTGCCTACCATCATAGGCAATTAACATGCGACGTCAGTCAAACTTGCAAGATGTTTCAGCGCGCGAACAAAAGAAAAAAGGACAGGGTAGACAGAATGAGCGCTGACTTCCAACTAATTTTATTTCACAGAGTGGCCAGAATATATACGCCTAAAGAAATGGATGACTATAGAGCATGAAGGTAAAATGCAAGCCTAATCTACACTTCAGTAACAAAGATTAACTGACGGGTCCTCTATTGCCTCAAAGCCCAGCCAGGTAATCACGTTCAGCCTGTGATAAAAAAAAGTTATTAACACAGAGGTAGTCTTCGTTTGCTCCAAAATGACGGATTTTTAGGAATAGCATATAGCCAAAAAATAACAGCGATTCTCGTGCTCTCACCTGTGTAAACCATAGAAGTACAGCGAGTGATCTGCTTATTTCTGCTTTCAAGTACATCTGCGTTCTGTCACATGTTGCCTTTACTTGCTTGGTGCCGCATCTAAGTTTTTTTTTTTTTGCTGGTTTCGTTGGATTGCGTTCTGCAGCGTGTTCTGGGTGGCTTCGTCCTCACTGTGCATATCGCATGAGTCATCATACGATGCCGCACAACTTATCAAAGTGGAAACAACACTCGTGACTACTTTGTGGTGCTGCCATCGAGACGATGTGATGCCACAAACCTCGGTCAACTGTGGCTAAGTTGCCATGTTTTTGTCGACGGCACAAACTTTTGCCGCTCTAAAGCAACGCGAGCTGGGAATTGCATGTAATCATTAAATGAACTTAGTCGAGGTATAGTTGTGAATGGACGGCCACAATTCTGAATACACAGGCAGTTGAAGCTTTTCGGAAAACGTTTCATAACGCCATTTATTTGAAATGGCAAATGATGTGTCTTCACATACTTCTGTCTCAACACAGCGGTTTCAGTGACATCAAAGCATGCTATCTATAGGTGCCGCCTATTAAACATGCTCACTAACTGACTGTGGTGAAGTCATGGGCTAATTATACGTTGTGCCGGGCTTACGGCTGCGCTGATAGCAGTTCAAATTCCGCGTTTATTAAGACAAAAGCCTTAAGCGCCCCTTGTGAAGTATAAGGTATGCCTAGAAAAATGTTGTGGGGAGTATGAAAATTCACATGACCTTGGTGTGGTTAATAGAAAGATAATAAATTAGAAAAGGCGGGGTTTAAGCCAAATTCGAATGCGGGCACTAGAGCATTCTGCTACAAAGCCACTTCAGTGCTTAAAAGTGTGTAAGATCTTCTAAGGTATTTAATGAGCTCATCTAGCAAGTGTGTGGCCAGTGAGTGCCAAGACCTGGCCAAAATAGACGTCGTTTAGTGATCCGACACATGAACTTTGATGTATTGTAAAATTATGGGGAAACGAAAATCCACAGCAATACACTCAGGCCAAGCACCTTGGTTGTGGTATTAAGATGATTGCACGTGACCACAGTTGCGGTCGCTGTGGCACTAGAGTTCCTTTCGGATGACTTTATGTGAATACCTTCTGTACAGTTGTCACACCCAAGTTGTCTTTTTAACAGATGTAATCTCACATGACAGAATGGCACCTGCCGTCAGGCTACATTATTTTACTTGGATGCTGACAACACTTTACAAGAGTGTCGCAAACAAAGGAACATCTGCGAGAGGAACATTAACAGTTGAAAGCTTTTTTAGAATACTTACGACAAGTACTCTAATAAATACAACGGTTAATGAAGGCAAAAAAGGTACAGGGGAAATTACCTTCAATGTTTTACTGTTCTAGAGGAAAACTGATGCAAAAATTTTGCAGCTTTTGTTTTGATTCCCCCCCCCCCCCCGACACAGCTGGATAAGACTGTTGGCATGATGCGGGCAGCTGTCTTTCAGATGAGCGCTTTAAAGCCTTTATGATCATGTATCATTTACGGTGAATGCTTACATACTTTGCATTATGGTTATCATTTGGGGCGCTGCTGCGAAAGGTATAGTTTGGAGTGCAGAGTAGATGATTTGTCTGTATCAGTCGGTCTGTGAAGCTGCTGTCTACTTCATTTCTGGTTAGCTGTAATGATCTAGTTTTTTTTTTTTTGGTATTGAACACTGCATTGTTGGCGAGTTTTTTTTTCTATAGGTTGTCCTTTGCATTCCGAAGGTGAAACTTGGCCGGTATCATTGTCTTTAGCAAGACCGCTCATATACTCATATAGACCGCTCAATTGAAGTCTGCACAATTTTGTTACAGTTGGCCTTTATGGCCGGTGATTCACTTGAGTCGAGAGTTCAGTATAAGGTTCGGTCATGAATACGGTGACGAGAGTCGGGGGCTGAGACACCTACTTCATTCATTTCAGGGACCTGCAAGAGTGGCAGCTACCAACCTAAGTGAATAGAGCGGGTGCTTCTGGAAGGTGGGCAGATAGAGCCACTGTGTGACCAGTGTGTGCTACATTAAAGGACTCCCAAAGGGACAAGCCTCCCACACATCAGCATAACTTTTGAGAAGGCACGATTGCTATTTCCTTGCTTTGTAGATTCCATTAAGGTGGTCCCATTTTTACCAAACTTGACATTGATGCATGCAGAAAGTGTAGCAGATATATAATTAGGAGATATAGCTTATGCAGTGGTGGGCTCTTGGTTACATATATATCGAGGACAGTGAAAATATTTGTATCGCCCCCAATATCATACCGCCAAAAAACTAGCAAAATACATTTTCAAACCACAAAAAATTCTGAACAGTTTGAATTAAGTTGTGCACAGCAAAGCATGGGCCCGTTGCCACTCATACTTCCCGTTAACGGACATGTCTAGCTGCAAGATGTCCGGGCTGCTTAATGTGTACCTACTTTCTTAACGCCATGGCCCTCCGGACACAATTTCTTTCTCCTAATTTTTCCTGAGAGCGCTCGGACGGGGGCGCTCTCGAGGTGGTGGCGGCCGCCGTGGCCACGCTGGAAGACGATCCGCTCACCAATGCGGGGTTTGGCAACCTGACGTCTTGCGGTTGCGTCGAGTGCGACGCCTCGGTTATGGACGGTCGTACTCTGGGATTCGGTGCCGCGGGCGCACTGCCGCGCGCCGGCAACCGGTACTCGTGGCCGAGGCACTGTGCCCCGCGCAGCATGACGGCCCGTTGTCGCTGGACCGCACGCCGCCCTGCTTCCTGGTCGGTGAGGGAGCGCTGCGCTGGGTGCGCGAACACGTGCTGCCCAACGTGGAACGCACGCCCGATGCCCTGATGTCCGCCCACGCGCGCAGGCGCTACGTCAAGCTGAAACGCCGGCTCGACCGCTGCTCGGCAGAGAATACCTTGGCGCGCAAGAGCCCCCTGGTCCCCACGACGCTGAAGCGCGAGGCCGACGACGAGCCGTGGCCGGCAGACACGAAAGTCGTAGCCCCGTGTTCAGTTCAGACAGTAGCAATCCGTCGCAGTTGGACACGGTGGGTGCCGTCTGCATGGATCGGCAGGGTAACGTGGCAGCCGCCGTGTCCAGCGGTGGCATCTGGCTCAAGCACACCAGCCGCGTCGGCCAGGCGGCCGTCTACGGGTGCGGCTGTTGGGCCGAGAACGCGCCGGAAGGCGGCTGTGCGGTGGCAGTCTCGAGTTCAGGTTGCGGCGAGCACTACATTCGCACCGCTCTGGTGCGCCAGTGCGCGCAGACGCTCGGGCGCTCCACTGACGATGGGTCCGTCGTAGCGCTTGACGCTTGTTTAAGGCAGAGTTTTCTGCAGTCGCCATTCTTCAGGGACACCACCGACCGATTGGCTGGAATCCTCGCCCTTCGCTGGGACCATCAGTGTGGCAGTGGTGATTCGCTGTAAGCCCACACAACGCGTTTCATGTGCTACGGGTACATGCACACGGGTGGAAGCAGGACCATATTCGGCTGCTCTGAAATGCCAGACACGATGGTTGCTTGGTCCAAGGTAATGCTCGGGGGAACGCCACTTGGAACTCGGCGCCTTGACAGAGATCACTGGTGTCTTCAACCGTGACACGAGTGTAGTGCACCTGCAGGCAGGATTATCCGCCATCATCATGGGGACATAATCATTCCTGTTTTGTACTTGTGGCGTTCATGTCAAGAATCCTTACATATAGTTCGAACAAACGTTTGTGTCTGGTTGTGCACTACTTGACTGGGTTAGGCGTAAGCTTCTTGATTGTCAGATTTCCTACTAGCAAGTCAGCAAGAGGAGTTTCTGTTCCTGTTATTCATTCGACATGTTCGTGTTATATTGTTAAACGTGCCTCGGTTTCATAGTCATTGATAAGAGACAAACTAACTTACCGTATTCTAGTCAAGTCTTGGAGCCCTGCATGAAACGGGCTTTATGTGATATGGAAAATCACGTGGGTTTCGCTATATGTCTTTGTTTATCTGTACAATGGTGCATTTCTGCAGACTTAATTGAAGAAATAGTGTAATTGCATTCTTCTTATCATTTACATTTAACTGTATTTATCAGAGTAAAATAAAGATTCATCATGTGACAGTTGAACAGTGGGATTGGAGTCAGTGTATTTTAAATGACCACTTCACAAACACTTTGGCTAAATTATTTGCATAGGTTAGATGCCAGTTTAATTGGGCTTGACAGATATACCATTTATGTGACGCAAGGTTTATTTGTGCTTTTATGATTGGCTGCATCGACGTGTGTAATGTTTTACAGTTGAAAGGCAACATGAAGCCAGATGAAGTAGACAGTGTCTCTGGGAGAGACCGGCATGCATAAATGTTTTAGTCGGGTGCATAGTATCGTCGATACGCTTGTTCTAAAGAAAAATTGGCTGCTATCGCACCCAACGAATGTGAATATCCAGCGAGGCTGTGTCAGGCAACACGCATGCTGATGGGCAGTGGGGGTTCTTTTTTGTTGCTTTCCTCTTTGTCTGCTCACCAACGCATCTCTTCAACACACACTCGCTTCCCTTTACCACTCCCTTGCTATGTTATGCTCTGCCAGTGTGCTTGGATAGCCGAGTGGTTAAGATGCTCACCTTCAGATAGAGGGTATGCGGGTTCGAATACTGCCTCTTGAAGAATTTTTTGCAGTTGGAATTCTTTCTTTCTATGTTTTTCTCCCTGTAGTTCTCATGTGTATCATGGTGAGAGGCGGGTAGTAGGATTCTTGTAAAGTCTGTGAAACATGCTTGAACATGTTTGATAGTTTTCGGGCACAGTCACACACTTCATGCCACACTCGAACAGCTCCGGTCAATATATATAGCAAGGCATCTATTAATTGCGAAGCATTTCTTAGCCAACTTTGGTGACCTAAAGCGTATCTATCTATCTAGCTGCCTACGACTTTTAGCTCTTCTAGCCATTTGGATAATTGTATCAATACCAAACTTGGTATCGCATAACATATGACGGTATGAAAAACATATTTCACTAGTCGTAACATGAAAATCTTGACACGTATGTCAATAATGTCATGTTTTACATTTCATGGTCCTGCAGCTCTTGCAGTGATTTCGTTCACCAGGCACATTGAAAAAGTGGTATGGTATGGCATGATTGTATGGTGAACACAAGTGACAGACCTTAACAAAAAATCATGACATGCGTGTTATGTAACATCATGACTACAGGCCACGCTCATGATGTGCTCGCGGGCGTTTCGCAAGCTTCATTTAAATCAAATTTGGTATTACGGGACGTGAATGAATGATGAAGGTATGAAAGCGGAGCAAACATGATAAATATAAGATGCATGTCATGTAACGACATGACTACATGCTACGCTCACAACATGACTACATGCGCTCGCGGCCGTTTCGCCAGCTTCACATATATCGAGCTCGGTACTACGAGATGTGAACGGACGACATAGGTAAACGACACATCGAAACGTGATAATCACGACATGCGTGTCATTTGACAACATGGGTACATGTCACACTGATGATGTATGTACTCGGGGCCGTTTTGCTAGCTTCACATATGCCAAATTCGGTATTACGTGACGCCAATGGATGACAAAAGTATGTGACCGATGCAAATATGATAATCCTGACACGCGTGTCATGTAAGAACATGACAACATACCACGCTCATTGCGTGCTCGCGGTCGTTTCGCTAGCTCCACATATACTAAATTTGGTATCACCTGACGTGAATAGGTCACCAAGGTAAACGACACATCCAAACATGATATTCATAGCACGGAAGTCATGTACGGCGTCGTTTACCTCCACCTCGTAATGTGATGATATTAAAGTGGCATATCAACATTTCTCATTCATGCTTCGCATATCATAGATTCCCACTGTACACGGGATCTGCCAATTTTTTCAATAGTAAGAACTTGTTAATTGTTTAGAACATATGTGAACAAACTACTATGGTAAAACGAAGTTCACTGCCTGCGTGAAAGTTGTACTGGAGGTCGATTGAAAACTGACAGCCATAGTCTGCTTCACTGTACAGTAAAACCTTGTTACTTCGAAGTCACTGGGCCTGCGAGGAATCTTCGAATTAAGCGGGTTTCGGAAGTAACAAAACATACAAAGAGCGGGATGCAAGAAATTTGGAATCACTTGAAGTAATTGGGGGTGGTCGTTTGCTGTGCTGTATAGTTAGCGGCTACACAGTTATGCTTTTCAGCTATCTTGATTTTGTCACAAACACAAAGGAATGGCGGGGCTCGCTGCTGCCACCGAAAAAAAAAACGCTGTCGTGATGAACTGAAATGTGCGCTTGCGAAAAGCATCTTCACTTCAGCACAGCTGTGACACACGGGGAGCACGTTGCCTGCTCTTCGCTGCATCAGCACGCCATGATGCTGACCATTCGCCGATTTTTTTTCATAAAATAAAAAAATAAATAATGAACAGTGACGAAATTCGCCGTGTGTTTTGGCTGGAAAACATCAACATTCAAGCTTTCTGCTCTAGTTTTCAAAGTAGGCGTTGCAGGCAAGAACACCACCAGCCGTGCAAGAGCCCGAATATCTTAAGCAACCGGCACTCAAAGGTTCGCACACATCGCGCATTTCTCTATACTCTCCTGTGTTAATTTTTTTTCCCACAAAGACTGAATAAATTGGCACGCGCTGACGTTGCGAGAAGCATAAGATATGCTGCCCGCATGCCAATGATGTCTTGCAGTGAAGCACAAAACATTTTCCACAGGCACATATTTTCATATTGTATTTTTACATTTTTTATATCATTTCATTTCTCCTAATGGAAGTAGCGAGCCAGGGTTGCTTGAGCCACCACTCATTAGTATTGCTGAAGTACATTGCCAAGTGTTCCGACGTTTCCGCGAATTTGTGGCGAAATCGGGAACGAGCACACTGCACACCAAGTTTTCAAATTAACCAGACTTGTGTTGACCGCTGCTTCAAATTATTCGCTCAAACTTGCATTGCAAAATACGGGACCGCGGAGATACTTTGAAATAAGTGGGATTTTGAAAAACCAGAGTTCAAATGAACGAGGTTTTATTGTAGTAGGTCTTTTGCTGCTCGAAGGCAGTTCTCTAGTCTTAACTCTGGCACCCTTAAAAAAGTACTGACACAAATTTTAAACTTTGGGGATTGTTGCACTAAATGAGAACACACGTTTAGAGAAGACTATAGAGTACTATTGTGCCTGGGAGAACATCGATTATATTTTTGGTACCGCTACCTCAAATTGGACATTTCCTGTTCGAATAGCAAAGGGACAGCTGCTCTGTTATGCCACTTTTAGCCTGCGATTCGCGATGTACTAGCAGCAGATCTGCTATATGCTTGTGGTACACATAAACAATTTGTGTGGTCTCCAGCGACCCAGTCACTGATTTTTGTGATTAAGGCTGCATTTAAGATGGCGAGTTCGTAAACTTAGTGAAACTGTGTTGACTTGTCGAAATAATGTCTATTGCAGAAGGGGCTGGCATTCTGGTGCTCGGCGACAAAAATTTAAAAAAATTGGAGAAAAACTTATGTCTGTTGCATGACTCCAGTGTGTGGCGGGTGTTGGTATATACCACAGAAACGAAAAAAATGTGTATTTTGCTAAGTCTTAAAACTGTGTCAGTACTCCTTCAATACGTGCTTGCTAAGGGTCTGTTTGCTTGGGCATGTTGAGATACACGCTCTAGCAGCCTCTCTATGGTTGCACAAGCTTGCATGAGCAAGCAATCTGATGTTTTCACTCCCAAGAACTTTAGACAATAATTCAGGCTACTGAGTTGAGTGCGCTTCTATTACCTGCTCACGCAGCGACTCCATAATATATGTCCTTGCAGTTTTTTGCTTCTACAAATTATACCTGGTGTTTTTTCATGACCAACAGCTGTATTGTACACAGTTGTAGCTGTACGCAGGCAGCCGTTTACACGTCTCGTCCAACTCTTGAGTCAGTCGCTTTACTTGCTACTTTTGGACTCTTATTCCTTAGCCAAGTGTGTCTGCACAGCTTTCCCTTTTCCATCCTAAAGTTCGCATTCGAAGTTCTCGTGGTACGTTAAGTTCATCGATGAGCATATGTTGGAAGTTCTCCAAGTATTGTGTGATCTCTATACTCCTTGCACAACTTTCATTGTGGCTCAGCAGACTTGGTTCCCACCAAAATAACTCATTCACATTTCTCTCGACTTGTACAGTGAGTGAGTTTTTCGGGTAACATTGGAGGATGGCTGCAGGCTCTTGTATTTTTGCATGTATCAGACGTTGTCGCCGCCGCATCGGGCCTTCCAGTGCTGTAGTTTAGGTTTTTGTTTGCAAATTTTGTACAGTTCTCTACTTTCTGCCTTGTTTGATCTACTGGTCGTTTTCATAGATTGGTCGTCTGGTGTCTTTGACAGGGAGGGTTTGGCGCT